TTGCCCAAAATTACACCGGTATTACCGTGAACGGTATGATATAGCCCAGCCCTAATTGAAGGTGGTCATCAGCTATTTTTAGTAACTTAATCAGTGGAGAAGGTGAAGCTGCATTTTCAAGGGAGAAATGTTGAGATAGAGGTTTTTGCATTTTTGTTACCTTGATGTGTCTCATCCTTTCCACTAAATGGTCATTGTGTGTTTTATTTGCCCACACTTGAGAAGGTAATTTCCAGCCCCTTTGGAGATAAAACTCCGACTGCAAGTGCCTGAAACACTGTGTATAGAGAGCAAGGGACACTTTAAATCGAGACTATTAATCTATTTCCTGTTACCCTTTACAGTCACCTTTGGTCTTTTGTGAATCACATTTTTATTAGTAGCAAGTACACATGTTCTTTGTAGGATTACTGAAACTTATTGTTATGGATTTGAACAAAGTTGAAGTAAGTGAATTGAGCTAAGCCAAAAAAAAAAAAGAATCAACTGAGATTGGACTGAGAATGATTTGTGGAGACAGAGGGGTTGAGAGAATGTCTCCAGACTACAAATGTCCTGATTTGTCACTCATCTTAATTGACAGACTGGGGATCTCTGTTTCCTTGTAGCAGCTGTGCCCTGTGAAATGATTTTTAAAGGGAAGGAGAGGAAAAAAAGCGAGGCTTTCGTAGATCCCTGCAGCCAGCACTTTGGCAAAAGGTCACAACATATCGCTTTTAGTATTCAGGGCTGGCAAGAAAACTCATGGTCAAAGTCCAGTGATAGATTTCTCAGAGGGATGTCTAGAGTTTCACTGCGCTACATTCAATAAAACAAAACTACCCACCGAAGGTCTCTAGTAGTGGCAAGTCTAAGAGAGAGGTGTAACTAAAGACCTTCTGTTTTTCTCTCTGGATAGCACTTTCAGAGCTTTTTGAAGTGGGACTTTTATTTATTGATCTTGGCCCAATTTTCCAGTACCATACAGCCAAAAAGGTTAAGAGTGGGACTATGTTATTAAATGGCCACACATAGTCTTTGAAAATTTATGACAGAGCGTACTAATTGCTTAGATATATGTTTAAAAAAACACTTCAAAGAGAAATATAAAGAAACACTCTCTGCACACTATCAACGTGAGAAGTCTTCTGTAAA